ATACTGGGACATAGTGGGTAAGGATGTCATCCAATTCTGCAAAAGCTGCTTCTCCACTTCAACTATGAACCCAGTCATGAATGAAACCCTCCTGTGCCTCATTCCAAAATGCCCTCAAGCCACAATGATAAAGAATTTTAGGCCCATAGGCTTATGCAATACTGTCTACAAGACAGTAACAAAAATCATTGTCAATAGAATCAAGCCTTACCTCCTTCACATCATTGGGCCTAGTCAGGCTAGCTTCCTCTCTAACAGGAAAGCCTCAGACAATGCCATCATAGTCCAAGAATACATCACCCACTTTGGAAAAATGAGAGGAAAATCTTGTAACATGATCCTAAAGATTGACCTGGAGAAGGCTTTTGACAGGCTAGAGTGGTCTTTCATTAAGCAGACCCTCCATGCTTTCAAATTCCTAAACAAAATCATCAATCTCATCATGTCATGTGTCAGCTCCTCCATCATCTCTGTTATTGTCAATGAGGAGCAAACCAACCCATTCAGGCCCACTAGGGGCATCAGACAGGGTGATCCCCTATCCTCTTACCTGTTCATCATATGTATGGAAAGACTTTCCAGAGACATTGATAATAATTTCCTCCAGGGTGAGTGGCACCCCATCAGCATTAGCAGAAGTGGCCCTAAGATATCTCACCTTTTCTTTGCTGATGATCTAACTCTTTTTGCAACAACTAACCAAGAAAGTTGCAACATAATCATGAACACTCTCAATGTTTTCAATTCGGCATCTGGGCAAAAAATCAACCTTAGCAAGTCAAAAGTATGCTTCAGTGCAAATTGCCAACCTTACCAAATGGAGTTCATCTCAAACACACTTACCATAAAAGCCTCAGCAAACTTTGGAAAATATCAAGGGTTCCCAATCTTCCACAAAAGACCCACTCATAGTGATTTCCAGTTCATTATTGACAATCTACACTCTAAAATGCTGGGTGGAAAACAAGCATGCTTAACATGACTGGGAGGACCACACTGGCAAAAGCATCGCTGAACTCAATCCCAAATCATGTTATGCAATACATCAAGCTACCGGCAAAAACAACCAAAGAGATTGACAAAGTTCAGAGGAACTTCATCTGGGGCACTATTGCCACCAAAAGGAAAATGCACCTGGTCTCATGGGATGCAGTCACTATGCCAAATGATAAGGGGGGCCTGGGAATCCAAAAAGCTAAATTGAAAAATAAAGCCCAGCATTCAGGTCTTGCCTGGAGACTTTACCCAAATCCAACAACCCTATGGGCAAAAACTCTAATTGCAAAACATTGCAATTGGAGGAAACCCCCTAAAAAAGCTAAATCTCAAACCTGGCAATGCATCTTAAAAGGATGGGAAACATGCATGAAAGCAAAAGGATGGGTAGTGCATTCAGGAAACAGAGTTAGCTTTTTCAATGATCCTTGGATAAATAACCTCCCTTCTATAAGGTCCCTAATTCAAGGTCCCTTGACAAGAGAGGACATGACCAAAACAGTTGCCAATGCTCATCATAATGGAGCTTGGGATCTCTCTACTCTATCTCTCACCATCCCCCAAGATATCCAAAATTCCATCTACAACACCTTCATTCCATCCAACCCAATTAAGGAAGATAGAATGATCCGGGGAGCCATTCCAAATGGAATCTACTCCACAAAATCTGCCTTCTCACTCTTGGATCAAGAGCAGGAAACCACGTCCCACAATTTTTCTTGGATCTGGAAACTGAAAGTTCCCAAAAAAATTCAATCCTTTTTCTGGTTACTATTCCATGACAGGCTTCCCACTGGAACCTATCTCCACCATGTTGGGATACAACAAGACCCCATATGCCATCTGTGCAGTCAGGCCAACGAAACATCAACACACATTTTCTTTGAATGCACCAACTCCAATCTCTTCTGGCAAGATATCATCTCAAAAAACACATAAAAAACCAATGCTCCCATACCTCCTTTCACTGCCAGGGGTTGGCCAACCATTTGGGCATCTCTTAAGAAAGAAGCCTATAACAGCATCATTACTTGGGAGCAGCTTTTTCCCTTCTGCTTTTGGCAATTATGGCTCACAAGGAACAACAACATCTTCAATAATAAAAAAGATAGGGCAGACTCAAAATGTGCAATAGCTAAGGCTACCGAATATGTTACAATGATGCTGGATAAAGAACCCAAAAACAAAAAGATTATCTGGGTAAAATGGGAGCCACCAAAAAATAATGTCTATAAGCTTAACACTGATGGAGCTGCAGCAGGGAGCCCTGGAAGGGGAGGGCTGGGAGGAGTCTTCAGAAATGCAAGTGGAAATTGGGTACTCGGCTATATGGGTTCAATCCAATACACCACTAACACTCAAGCAGAATTGCTAGCACTTCTAAAAGGATTGCAAATTGCAGAAGAAAGGCAGTTCACACCTTTGGAAATAAACACTAACTCAACAGAGGTAATTAGAATGCTCATCAATGGTAACCTCTATTTTGACTCACTTATTCATGAATGCAGGTCAATCGTCCAAAGACTAGGCGCCGTGGTGGTGAAGCACAGCTACAGGGAGACCAACAAAGTTGCTGATATGCTGGCGAAGGAGGGCATAACCAGAAATTTTTTTGAGAACGCTTTTGTAACAACAGTTCCTCCGGTGTTTGTCAATCATGTATTTTGGACAGACATCATAGGAACTGTGTTTGAAAGAAAGATAATGGATTGTAATATTGCTAACAATAGCCTGGTAGCGGGGGATCTCGTTTATCCACCCATAAACATTCTGTCTGTACACCCTAACGGGTAGTTCGTTTTTTAGTTTATAATATGCATCCAGTTTAACCAAAAAAAAAAACTCACGAAACTTTATTGATCGAAATAATGGACTTTGTTTTATTGTTTTCCATTAAATCCATTCGTTTTTTAAACATCATATCATATAGTTATAAATACATGTCCTTCATTTATTCATTTTAGTATGACTATGATGTGGCCATTTCTTCTTTTTTTTTCTTTTTGTCCTTTCAAGAGAAAGTGTCTTGTGTTTTTGATAGTTAAATTCTAGTTTTAAATTTTTTTCAAATATAGAAAAAAGTCTTAAGTCAAGAGGCCCTAAATTTACCACCAAATACTCATAAATTATATAGTGAAATATAAAAACTCAGTCAATATGACTTTCATCAATTCGATAACACTAGGTTTGTATAGTTTACTTGGATTGAGTTTAATATAGTTTATTTCCAATGAGTTTTAAGTTATATGATATAACTTAAAACTCATTGGAAATAAACTAGAGATTTTTTCCTTCCTATACCATATATGAAACTTTATTACCAAAAATGTACACAGTTTCTAATTTACCCGCCCTGTCCACATTTTTCCTACAATTATTATACCATTCATTAAATACTAATTATTAGTAGCTGAATCTTCCTAATTAGGCATGCTAAAATTCAGGAACAGAATCTTCTAATTGATTTAGCCACAAATCAAATCTGTTCAAAAGCTTAATTCGTCGAAATCAAATCTGTTCAAAAGCTCAGATCTGTTCTTCGATATTTTCGCTTAAGACACAAATAAAAAGCTCAGTTCGTCGAAATCAGAAGCTCAATTTCAAATTGTAGAAATCAGTTCTGCAAAAGCTCTGTTCGTCGACATTCTACTACATCTCTCTCTATTTCTCAATCGCAAATTTCAGTAATACAAAGCAAATGAAAAGAGAGCAGCAATTCCACCATTAACAGCCATTAAAAAGCTTGAAAGCTTTGAATTCAAATTTGGGTTTTCAAAAATCATTATTTGTTTGGATTGGGTGTTGTTGAAAATAATCGGGAATATGGTTTGGAGTTTATATCTCAATTTTGAGAGGTTTTGGTGAAGATTAGACTTGGCTTTGACTGAATTTCAGATTGAAACTCGAAGAAGAAGAAGAAGAAGAAGAAGAAGAAGAAGAAGAAGAAGAAGAAGACATATTGCAGAAATTGTAGATAAATTGTAGATTATTTGTATTCTGATTGTAGATGCTTTATTTTCTGTTTTCACAAATAAAAAACAGCTAAAACTTCTACAAATCTTCTGAAAAAACGCAATTATGTCAAAAATCCCAATTATGCTACAATTGAATGGGAATTGGGATATAAAAATTCAATGTACCCAGTTTGTAGATATTTTATAGATAAATTGTAGATTATTTGTATTCTAATTGTAGATGCTTTGTTTTCTGTTTTCACAAATTAAAAACGACTAAAACTTTTAAAAATCTTCTGCAAAAAATGCAATTATGTCGAAAATCCCAATTAAACTACAATCGAATGGGAATTGGGATATTAAAATTCAATATACCTAGTTTGTAGATATTTTGTAGATGAAATGTAGATTATTTGTAGATAGAATGTAGATGCATTGTTTTCAATTGTAGATGCATTTTTACATTCCTATGCCGCATAGGAATTTTTACATTCTTCAATTGTTGTCAAGAAGATGTAGTTGATACACTAATATTGTGGTTCTTTTACTTTCTGGCTTTGAACTAAAAGATAAACTGATAATTAATTAAAATGGAAAAATAGCTTCTGTAAAGATACCAGTTGGGAAAGGATGTGGTTTTGTGCAGTTTGCAAAAAGGTAGGTTGTCGGTTGCGGTTGTCATTTGCCAAATTATTAACTTACTCTTAGGCTGTAAGTAGTTCAGTAACAAATGGATCTAATTTGTTGCGACAGAAACGATGCAGAAAAAGCGTTACAGAAGCTGAATGGAACTGCTATTGGCAAGCAAACAGTGCGTCTTTCGTGAGGACGAAATCCAGCTAATAAACAGGCAAGGATGCTAGCTTTTTAGGTTAAAATACACTATGACTATGGTATAGAATTGGTAATTTGATATACTAAGTGTAATTAAGTCAAACCTTAAACATTGAGGGTAATAAGGTTTCCTATGTGGCATAGGAATGTAAAAATTCCAATAAACTATATTAAATTCAATCCAAGTAAACTATACAACTTATATGGTCCGTCAATAACTCGATATATTAATGTCTCAAATTATCAGTAGAAATAAATATACATACACCATGTTTTTTATCAACGAAGATGCATTAATAAAGTTTGACTGAAATGTAACAAAATATTTTTTCCACAAGAAACCTTAATACAAAATTCTTCAACTTTTGCTTACGCCATAGAGTGAGAGGAATGGGGGAGCAAAATAATCATTAAACTTGAGAATGTAGATGTTCAAAAGAGGCAGCAAAACATCTGCAAAATAGTAGAAAAAAGGAAAATCAGAAAACCAAATAATATGTACGTGCCTAAAGAATGAGTGTGAAACTATTTTAACTATAGGTGAAGTTACTAAATTTATATAATTTCTTATTTCAATTTTTGTCAATGGGACACATGTAGATGAGTTAACTGTTGCAATCGAAATAACATTACGTCATGCAGAAGCTAACAAATAAACCTTGAATGACAATAAAACAGACAACAAAAAGAACCTGCATTCGCAAATGCGAAGACACCCAGCCCAGCCCCTTTATCGCAAATGCGATCCTGCGACTGCAAATACGAGCATGACCTCACAAATACGAGATCTGCAACTGGACACCAGCAACTTTTGGGCATCAACAGTTGCAAACCCATCTGTAACACACTCAAAACTCACTCGAGCCCCTCGGGCTCCAAATCGAACATGCACACGAGTGCAATAACATCCTACAAACTTGCTTGCTACCTCAGATCATCGAAATAACATCAAATAACAAGTATCGATCATCAAAACTTAAGAATTTCAACTATAAAACTCATTTTCACAATTTCTCACATGACGCGCTGAAATGCGCTCGGGTCATCCTAGATCCCAAACAAACGTGCGTACAAGTCCAAAAAGCGGATGTGGAGTACCACTGCATCCACTACTATATATAGTTCGAATTGAAGACAATTATTGTCTATTTTCCATATAGATCTGCTCTTTTTTTAAAAAAAAATCTTGAAGCCTATGAGTGTTCACATATGCAAGAATGAGACATACCTTTGATTTAGTATTTCTTTTATGTGAGGAAGGCATGTTTGGTTGTGGCTGCACAATAGGGAATTTAGCAGCTGCTATCTGCTTTTCCTCTTTTACTTTGTTGAAAATTACTGTAAATCCTTCGCCAGATTTGGGGTCTTTCTCATCCCATGCTCCAAATTTTGGTACTGATGCTGATGAATAATTAGACTGTCATACAGGAGAAAGTGATTTAATTAGAGATATATTTCTTGACCACTCAGTACTTCACAATTTGACTAGGAAATTAAGGGGGGAAATAAAAAATAGATTTACAATTGGTAATTGAAAAATAGCCACATTTTCAAAAGTAATCGAATTTTAGCTACTTTTTTATGTAAAGATAAAATATAAACAAAAACACCCTTAAAAATCCGGAAATATTCCAGCATAATATGCTGGAGTTCGAATTTTGTACATATGAGTTTTTCAGTATAATGTGCTAGAATTCAAACATAATATGCGGAAGTTTATATGCATGAGCTCCATAATCCCACATACAATGCAGGAACTTTCCGTGTGCTGGAGTTCCAACATAATATTCTGGAAGTTTATACACAACAACTCCATAATCCCGCATATTATGCCAGAACTTTCCATGTTTCAACAAAACAACTTACACCTCTCGCCTATCGAAGTTCTGTTCAAAAACCTCGTCCGAGAACTTGTATAGAGAAGGATTTCCCACGGCGCAACAGTTCTTCCATACCAACTTAGATGCCCGGCGCTGCTATTGGCATAATGACTATTTTTTAACGGCTTTACAAACACTGATTATTTTTTAGTTACCAGTCCGAAAACTGGCTAGCCCGTACTATTTTCACAAAAATTAAGCTTGAATATACTTATAAAATACTAGCAAAAAAAAGGCATGTTTTACTTGGTGCACATCCAAAAATAGCTAAGGGAGTAATCAAGACCAAAATAGTTCAGGTGTACTCCGAATAAATCGTGTCAAGTTTAGGGAATCTTGAGATATTCTTCCTTTAGTATGAATTTTGATTAAATACAATCAAAGATATAAAATTAGGATTTAGATTCAAATGAGAAGCCCTCTTAGTAAAGTAGGACTATAAGTCATGAGCTACCTCCACTTTTGGGTGGTGACATTCCCTTCCACTTCTGTATGGTGTAAATATCGAGTGCAAGTAAGTTTTTACCGTAAAAAAGACTTTATTTTAGCAGCGGGACATGAAATACGATAAAATTTGGCTCTCAAAAAGTTGTTTGTGCACCCTAAGATTAGCTCAATTTTGCCATCAATCTCATAACTATCACAATGACATATTGATCACTTTAACAACTTTCTTGCTAAGAATTCTTGCATGTTCTTACAAAATTTTTAGTGAATTTTGTACTACGGTCAGAACTCTCTATAACAGCATCGATATATAACAACCATTCACTATAAAAGCTATGTTTTTTGTAGAACCAATTTTCATGCTATGTTATAAGATATGTTCTCTATAACAGCCGAAAATGTCTGGAACAAATGAGGCTGTTGTAGGGAGGTTTGACTGTAATAATAACATTAGACAAGGTTTTAAATCAAAAGATATTATGTTATCGTCACCCTTAAATGATGATTCTAAAGCTCTAACCAAACATTTAAAGAGGCAATCTGAGTTTATCATTCAGTGTTTTCTAAAGAGACAATAAATTTAAATTGAGACAATCAAAGAGAGAAAAACTTACAAGATCATCAGAAGGATTTCTGCGATGACCATAATTGTACTGAGGCGTTTCGATTAAAGGAGTTTTCGCAGGAGAAACATTAATACTAGCATCTTCATATCCTCTATATGCAAAAGCCTCTGGATTCTCCTCTGGATCATTTGGATTTATCATCTTACCGCCTTTTCCTTTGCGCGCATTCTCAAAATACGCTGTGTATGGCACATTGTCACCATCCCAGTTTCCGAACTTAGGAACATGTGATCCCTGCTGCAACGAGTATACAACAACGCTTCAATATTAAGCTAACTTGAGGTCGGCTGTATGAATCATCACTAGTTATGCCGCTCTATTTAAGTTCTCTATATTTTCTACTGGAATATATATAAATCGTTGACATGACTAAATGACTCATTGAAAATATAGGACTTACAACCTGTTTGGATGGTTGTTATGTATCGTTTCATAATGTATCGTATAGTATTATATTATACTATATTGTATCATTTTGATGTATATAATGTTTGGATAGATTGTAATGTTTGCCGTCGTTTCATGATGTCATGCACCCACAATATGAAGAATAAACTTGCAATGTTATAAAGAAAAAGTAAGGTACGAGGTAATATTATCATATAAAAAAGTAGGGTAAATGTTAAAATAAGATTATTTAATAATAAAAATGGGCAAGACGAGAAGAAAAAATAAGGTAAAGACGCCACCACACACAATCGATCGTTCCATAAAGTGGCACTTTTCAAAGTTACGTATCAATGAATTTAACGATACGATACAGTAAAATTTAAGTAACAATAAAAAAATATAGTTAACAATCATCCAAACAAGCTGTTAAAAGTAAATATACTAACACGATATATAAAAATTTAATCCCTAACTTTTTGGTCCCTGAGAAACAACTTTGGATTTGTTCTTTAATCACATAGTATCTTAATCTACAAATAAGAAGAATCCTAAGATTTTTAACATCCATAATCTATGATTTCAACAACACCTTTAAAGGGCAGTTTGGTGCACTAAGCTCCCGCTATATATGGGGTCCGGGTAAGGGCCGGACCAAAAGGGTCTATTGTACGTAACTTTACCCTGCATTTTTGCAAGAGGCTATTTCCATTGCTCGAATCTGTAACCTCGTGGTCACATGCCAGCAACTTTACCAGCTACGCTGAAACTCCTCTTCGATTTCAACAACACCTTCGACGTAACTATATATTTGATTGTAAAGGCAAAAAATGCACTTCATGGTTTTCAAAAATGAGTAATTAGGGCCATAAAATAAACTAACTAAATTCAGGTGTTTTTTTTCTTAATAATAAAGACGTAATCAAGAATAACAAGCTAATTAAGGTGCAAAAACCAGAAATTGAAGAGAAAATATTACTTACAGCCATTAATGATTTTGGGATTCTTCTTCTTGTTATTGAGTTTTTCCATTGAACAATGACTAATTGTGTATTAAGAAAACTCAAGATTTGACGTGGGACCAATTTAAATTTATTTTCTTTAATTTATCGGAGATCCCAATGAAATTTGGACCTGCTAGGCAACTAGAGAAATTGATTCGTTGGTTACAACTATTTGTTTCCATTGAAATAAAACCAAACAACAAAGCGGTAGCTGATTTCTTCTCATCTGGTTAAGTCTCGGTAGACAGAGCTATACAATATTTATGTTGGTAGTAGATACCACGTGAAATTAGTTGAAGTACGCGCAAACTAATCCGAACACCAAGATTATTAAAAAAAAAACGACGACTTTAAAATTGTCTTTTTCTTTACACGGAGGAAACCAGATGATCCTTAAACGAAAGCAAAATGATTTAACTGGTTTTTGTTGACTCATCTTTTGGAGTGTTTATTGTTGGTTAGAGCTATTTGTTTCCATTGAAATAAAACCAAACAACCTTGAGTCCAATATTAGACTCTTGCCAGATGTCTTTAACAAAATTAAGGCGAAATAATTCAAAAGTTTATATGAAAACAACAATTTTTATATCACATTATTTTTTCGATACCAGTAACCAAAACTAGACTTTTTCGAATTATCTCAATCGTCTAATTTATCGGATGTCCCCTTTGTTTGGGACTAAGACATAATTATTATTATCTTGTTTAATTTTAGTATGTATTCGGTTCTATTAATTTGAATACTTTATTTTAAAAAAATACAAAATAATGTCAGAATAGCAGGATCTTAATAAGGCACTGAGATATACACAAATAAATCAAACGATGGTTTTACAAATTGTCCACCAAAAGAAGGGTTGTAGTTGTTGTAATCCCGAAATTATTAGTTAAAGTTGTGGTTAGCGAAGTTCGAACTTGAAGCAGTAGAGGAGGCCTAACCGATCCCTGAATCGACGGCTCAGAATAATCGTCACTTAATGAGGCTCAAAGGTCCAGATTGTGCCAGCTGGCAAAGAGTTTATTATTTAACTAACAAACTCTGCAGAGAAGGCTAACGAATTACACAATATCTTCCTTTCTCACTCCTCTTTCTCTTCTTCTGATCCTCACCTTTTTCTCTTCTCTTCTAACCCAAATTTCTTCTCTTCTTCTGCAGATCTAGAGTACAACCATGGAGCTCTATTTCATTTAGTTGTTAATTTTTCATTTTCCTTAGCTTGTAATTCAGTCCTGTTTTTTCTATTCAATAAATCGAAAATCGTCCCAAAAAAGTGTCGCAATTCCTTTTCGCATCTCTTAAATTCCATCTTAATTAGTCAGATTCTGACATTTGGTATCAAAGCTTGATTCTGTAACCTGTGGGCACGATAATGGCTGAAGGCACACGAATGAAGTTGATGGATGAAAAGCTAGCAAAACATGATGAGGTGATGGGGGAACTGACAATCATCTGTAGAGAACTGAACGAGACACAGACGGCTATACGTGGAGCTTTGGAGCAGATCATGGATGGACTAACTGCGCTGGAAGTAGCACTTGTAGAGTAGCGGACAATGCCAATCCTCAAGGTGACGTACTGTTACCCAGACTTGTGAGAGCAACAGAAAATGCCGATCCACTTGGCGATGGGTTGTTACCAGTGCCTGGCCTTGAGGCTAGAGCTAACAGGATACCGGGTTGGCCAATACCTCCTCCCAAATGGGAACTTCCATGTTTCGAAGGTAATGAACCTAAGGTTTAGCTCAGAAAATGCGAAAGGTATTTTAAATTGTATAGTACTGCTGAGAATATAAAGGTAGATGTTGCTGCTTTATACTTAAATGGTGTAGCTGAAACTTGGTTAAATTCCCTTGTTCTGAGTAAAGGAGTAATAACTTGGGAGAAATTTAAAGATGAACTGTGTATTAGTTTTGGTGAAACCTTAATGGAAGACATTGTAGAGGACTTCAACAAATTGAGTCAAACTGGATTAGTAGGGAAATTCTGAGGAAAATTCGAAGACCTTAAGGCGCAAATGATAATGAGAACCACTGTATTGAATGAGTCTCATTTTTTATCCAGCTTTATGGGGGCCCTTAAGGAAGAAATCAAGTACACTGTGAAGCTGTCCAAACCTGCTACCTTGAGTGAAGCCATCGAGCAAGCTAGAATGCAGGAAAAAGCTATTGAGGTTGTGCATAGGAAAGACAAATCAATTAGGAGGGGTGCTTCACAAACTGGAGTTATAAATACAAACAGAATCTCAAAACCAGTATCCAATAGAACTGGAACATATAGGTTGAGCCCCGAGGTATATGAATATAGAAAGTCCAATCACTTGTGTTTTAGATGTGGCGAAAAATAGGCTCCTGGTCACCAGTGCAAAACTAGACAACTGAATTGTTTAGTGGGAGAAGATGAAGATAGCCCCGCAACAGTAATAACAGAAACACAGACTCAAGGGGAAGATTCTGTAATGTCAAATATTGTCATTGAATGGGAAATCCAACAGGAGGTTTTAGAGGCTGTGTGCCTCAGTGCATTAGCTGGTAACAACTCTGGAGTAAACTCAATAGTAGTCAAAGGAGTTATCAAAAACAAAACTCTGACAATTCTAGTGGATTCTGGAAGCACTCACAGTTTCTTTGATGAACAAGCTGTAAAGGAAACTGGATATGCACCAGTTTATAGTCCTCCAATGAGGGTAACTGTTGCAGATGGGAATTATGTGATGTGCAATGCTTCTTGCATGGGGTGTTTAACCAAAAAGTGGAATTTCGGTCAAAGCTTTATTTTAGAAGAACTCAGGTTACTGATAATCAAAAAATGAATAAAGGAAATTGATTTTTGCTAACAATAAGATGAACAGAAGAAAACAAAGTAAATCAATATATTTCAATGATAATTCGTATCCTTACAAATGATCAGTCGTCTCCTTTTTATAGCTATTTCTAAGATATACGTTTTGCCTTTGTCATAATAAGGTCATTATAGACAATTAAAGGCATTTAATGCTACATTACAATGACAATCATTATAATTCAACACAGATTTTCTAACGTTTTCAGTATTTAATGTTTATTAAATACTGTATCCGTACTCTCTTGTGTTGTCAGATTCATTCTCCTTAATTTTTGGACTTAAATAGGTACGAGCACCGAGTCTTTTGATTATCTGCTCGTGTCTCTGCTCGTGCCTCTACTCGTATCTGTTGCAACCCGTGCCTCTTTGCTAATCATCATTCTTTGACTAGCCTTCGTGTCATGACAAATCATCTTTCAATTACTTCAATATATATAAACTCAATTTTTCCCAATACAGATAGTCCCCCCACTTGCCATTTATTCGCCAATTGAATATTTGGGAAGTGGATTTTATTAAAGCGGGAATATTTGCCGCCATTAATTCTCTTATGGAATCGACGCTTCATTTGTCACTTCCATTTAATGCCTATTACACGTGGCATGTTTTTATTGGTTCTGCGACTTTGCAGCGTCTTTTAAGGCTTTTTTACGGCTTCACCAATTACGAAGTGACAGTTCTCATTATGACTTTTCCATCATTGCACCTTTTCCTTTGACGGTTGCCTCTAAGTATAAATATAGTTTTCACCTTTGTCTTTCTCACATAAAATTCTCAGAATATTCAATTCTTGTTTGCTTCTTCCTCGTACTATCATGTCTTCATCAAACCCTAACCCTAGGAGAGTCCCCATAGTTGATAACTTTCCTCCTGCCCCTAGTAGGAGCAGAAGAGGAGGTAGACTACGTAATTTAGGGTCTGCATCCATACGTGGTTCTTCTCTTCCTNTTACCGTTCATATCGCGGCTCAGGTTAGCCCCAACGTAGATTTTCCTTTCTGGCCATTGTGTAAATAACTCCACAGCCTCCAGTTCCTCAATCGTTGTTTTGATATTTTCATTTTCCTCTGGTTCTTGAATGGAATCGGGCCGTGAGTCCACATCTGTTCGCCCTTGTTCAGTTGAGGTTTGTATTGTGGTATCCTCAACTGGATGCTGTAATTGCTATTTGTCTTCGTTTCTCGTATTTGAATCTGCTACAGAGTTGATGCCTCTGGATGTTTGTTTATCCCCACGAATTTGACATATTCCCCATGGTGATGGAAATTTGATAACTTGATGCAAGGTAGACGGAACGGCATCCATCTCGTGGATCCATGGTCTCCCGAGAATCATATCGTAAGCCATTTCCAACTCTACCACCTGAAATTTTGTATCCTTGACAACCCTTCTGCAAATGTAGTAAGCATTACCTCCTCTTTTGTCACAACGCTTGAGTTGTCGAATCCAGACAAGGTATGTGCCTTTGGTACTAGCTTATCTTCAGCTTACATCTCGTGCAGTACTCTTAGCAGGATAATGTTCACGGAACTACATGGATCAATCAAAACTCGTTTCACATTAGTACCATGTACAAGTAGAGATATTGCCAGTGCATCGTTATGTGGAGTTAACACGCCATCCGCATCTGCATCATCAAATGTAATACTTTCTTCCTCCAAAACATGTCGAACCCACTTCCCGTGGGTAATTGTGACTTTTGAAACTTTATTGGCTGCTGTGTACGTCACACCATTAATTTCTTCACCTCCGTTTATAACATTAACGGTCCTTTTGGGAGAAGGCGGTTTAGGGGGCTCCTGCCTATTCTTCATGTATGCTTGCTTACCTTTCTCACTGAATAATTCGGTGAGATACACTTGCTTCAACAGATGATCAACTTCACCTTGTAGCAACCTATAATCTGCCATTTTATGACCATGATCGTTGTGAAATTCGCACCAGTGATCAGGATTGCGCCTGTTTGGATTTGATCTCATTTCTTTTGGCCACCGCACCTTATCACCCATGCTTCTTAAAACAGCTACGAGCTCGGAAGTGCTTACATTAAAATTATAACTGCCAAATCTTGCCTTCAAGTTTCTATCATCATCTCGCGACTCTCGCGTTTACGATCATTCCCGAACCTTGATGATGAGCCCGATTCTCTATTCCTCGATTTATGATTGTACCTTGAAT